TCAGTCTTGGCTGCTCATGAAAAGATACGAGTGCCAGGCCTTCACCCCAGACACCCAGTTTCCACTGCTCTGGGGTGAGCTCAGACACAGTGAAGTCTCCTCAAATGATTCTGATGTGAGGCCAGGGTGAAGAACTACTGCCCTAGGATTAGAACCAGCCATCTCTGCTAACCTCCCCAGATGATTCTGATGCAGGTGGTTCTGTGACAAGGTGACCAACACCCTTGGCTTGTCCTGATTTCAGAACTAAAAGTTTCACATCCCAAGAAACTCCTAGTCCTGGGTAAGCCAGACAGCTGGTCATTATCAACGGACCACTATTGAAAAAAAATTCTAGATGAGTCAGTGAAAGCCTTTTTTGAAAAATGCCTACAAATATCTACTGAAAGCCATGATTTTGTCTCCTTACTTAAGGGCCTGAGCCAACTGTCCTTGAATGAAGGAGGAAGTGGCTCAGGGTCAGCGTTTTCCTTCAGCCCTGTGCTCTGCTGTGCTAGGTCTGTTAACTCACATAAATAGTGTGTCTGTCTTCGGGAATTCTTTCAGATTATATCCCTTAGTGCACACACCACAGCGTTGAAAGCCCATTTACAATCAACAAAGATGATGTGTTTAGGATAAGACAAGATACAGGATGAAATTCCTATGCCTTCTACACCGATGTGTATTATTTTTACTATTACAAATACCATAGGCTGGGGATGGTGGCTCACGCTTGTAATCTCAGCACTTTGGGAGGCCAAGGCAGAGAGATCACGAGGTCAGGAGTTTGAGACGATCCTGGCCAACATGATGAAACCTTGTCTCTACTAAAAATACAAAAATTAGCTGGGCGTGGTGGTGCTACTCCGGAGGCTGAGGCAGGAGAATCGCTTGAACCTGGGAGGTGGAGGTTGCAGTGAACCGTGATTGCAACATTGCACTCCAGCCTGGTGACAGAGGGAGACTCCATCTCAAAACAAAAACAAAAACAAAAAAACACCACAAGTACTATGATAGGGTACACAAATATATGTAATATGTTAAATAGCTGTGGGGTGGCTCAGACTCTGGGTCGAGATTCCTGGGTTTGTGCCCCAGCTTTGCTGTCGTTAGGTACGCCATCACGGATGCCTCTTTTTCACCTTAGTTGTTCACCTGTAAACTGGGAATAATAGAGATGTCTTCGTCATAGAACAGATGGGAGAGTCCAAAAAATAGTATAAGCAAAAGTGGTTCTAGAGACTGAGGGCTGGGGTGTTATGATTGTCTTTGAATGGACTTGACGTTATTCCGCTGAGAGGTCCTGCACATGACCGGAGCTCTGGACCCCTGACCCTGAACCATAGCCCACCTGCGAAGTTTCAAGGAAGAAGCTTTTAACCCAGAGTGAACCATGGCGAGAGCTCAGGAAGCGGAGTTCCCCACCTTCGCTGCCCTTACTACTGACGTCAAGTGTGCTTTGCTTCAGGAAGAAGCAAAGCTTTTGGAAACGGGGGTTTGTGAAGGTATTTTTTGTTTCTAAATCTTTTGCCTGTTTATTCCAAGCGTAGCCTCAGAAATGTAGCCAAAAGAAAAGCAACCACAATCACAGACCCATAATATTGAAAAGCCAGTTCTTAATTTCTGTAGCTAAAAAAGCATCCTTTCAGGCTATAACCACAGAGAGATTGCTGCAGGCCTCTGGCATAATGACAGTTTGCAGTGTGATGAAGGAGGCTGTCAAGCTCTGTGGCCGAAGCCTAATCCCAGCCTCTCCAATTACCCAGGTGCCTAGCAACACCACCAAAAGCCTCCCCGCCAGGCCCAGCTGGGCAGCAATTGGCTACACCCAGCACAGCCTGCTGCCCAGCCTCTTGAGCTCCCCCCACCCACCCCACCCTCGCCACATCAAGGCTGGTCTCAGCCCCGGCAGGAACCCACCTGGTACCAATGAGTGGGTGGGGCCAGCTGTTTAGAAAAAACAATTCAGATATTAAAAAGCTCCCTGTTTGAATGCAGCTGGGAAAGCAGCACAAGCTTACCACTAAAAGTGTCTGCCATGGAAAAGGAGTTATCGTAAGGGTGTTGGCCTTGCCAGTACCCTCCTGGGTGAGGTGAAGAAGGGAAGGTGAGCCTGATTTAGTCCTCTTCTCAAATGGGCAAATCCTTTCCCCATCCTGGATGCTGTGTCCACCCAGAGTCCTTGTGGTAGCAATGGGGATGGTGGGAATTCCCAGATCCATCTTCCCCCAGGGGTCATGACCTGCCACATCCTCTACAGCTTCCGTTTGGGAATTCCCAGGGTCTGGTCTGGGACTGTCTAGGCAGCTGGAGGAAAAGGAGGGAGATAACAGAACAGGAAGGCGGGATGAAAACCAAAAAGAAGATTCACACTTCTTTTCTTTAAATTTTTTTTTAAATTTAGTTTTTGGAGACAGGGTTTCACTCTGTCACCTAGGCTAGAGTCCAAGTGGCACCATTGTAGCTCACTGCAATCTTGAACTTCCTGGTTCAAGTGATCCTCCCGCCTTAGCCTCCCTAGTAGCTGGAAGTGCAGGTGTGCACACCACTGCTCCTGGCAAACTTTAATTTTAAAAAATTTTTTGGCTAGGTGCAGTGGCTCATGCCTGTAATCCCAGCATTCTGGGAGGCCGAGGCAGGCAGATCACCTGAGGTCAGGAGTTCAAGACCAGCCTGACCAACATGGTGAAACTCCGTCTTAAAAAAATAATAAATTAAGAATTTTTTTTTTTTTTTTGTAAAGAAGGATTTTCACTGTATTGCCCAGGCTGGTCTCAAACTCCTGGCCTCAAGCAATCCTCCTGCCTTGGTCTCTCAAAGTGCTAAGATTACAGATATGAGCCACTGTGCCTGGCACATTATTGTTTATTTAAAAAAAATTTTATGTGGCTGGGTGCATGGTGGCTCATGCCTCCAGCACTTTGGGAGGCAGAGGTGGGCGGATCACCTGAGGTTGGGAGTTCGAGACCAGCCCAACCAACATGGAGAACACGACCAACACCCTGTCTCTACTAGAAATGCCAACACCTTGTCTCTACCAAAAATAGAAAATTAGCCAGGTGTGGCGGCACATGCCTGTAATCCCAGCTACTTGGGAAGCTGAGGCAAGAGAATCACTTGAACTTGGGAGGTAGATGTTTCAATGAGCCAAGATCACGTCATTGCACTCCATTGCACTATTATAAATATATTTTTTATAATAAATAAAAAATAATTTTTAAAATTTATTATAAAAAAAAAAATTTAAATTTTATCTTAAATTTATTTATTTTTGAGACAGGGTCTTGCTCTGTTGCCAAGGCTGGAGTAAATTTTTATTTTATTTTATTTTATTTTATTTTATTATATTTTTTTTGAGACGGAGTTTCACTCTTGTTACCCAGGCTGGAGTGCAATGGCACGATCTCGGGTCACCGCAACCTCCTGGGTTCAAGCAATTCTCCTGCCTCAGCCTCCCGAGTAGCTGGAACTACAGGCACGCGCCACCATGCCCAGCTAATTTTTTGTATTTTTAGTAGAGACGGGGTTTCACCATGTTGACCAGGATGGTCTCGATCTCTTGACCTCGTGAGCCACCCGCCTCGGCCTCCCAAAGTGCTGGGATTACAGGCGTGAGCCACCGTGCCCGGCAATTTTTATTTTTAACCCTAATCCCATGACAGATGAAGAAGCATCTTTCTATAACACTTGGTAAGTGTAAATCACAGGGGCAGTGGAACATGGTGGGGGCTTTGGAGTGAGGCGCCTGAGACTCTTCTCCCAGCCCTCCCATCCTTAGCTGGGAGACCTTAAGTAAGTTACTTTGGGAGCCTGGGTTTCTTTATCCTTAAAATGGGAATGTTATTACCCTACCTTACAAAGTTGTAAAAATTAAGGGAATGCTCATAATTAGCCTGGGAGCCAGCACACAATAAGTTTATTATTCCAGTAACTCTTTATTCTTTTATTTGATCCTTACAACAATTCTGTAAGATATTCAGGGCAGAGGTGAACTCTGTTTGCTTTTTTTTTGAGACGAAGTTTCGCTCTTGTTGCCCAGACTGGAGTGAAATGGCGCGATCTTGGCTCACCGAAACCTTTGCCTCCAGTGTTCAAGCGATTCTCCTGCCTCAGCCTCCTGAGTAGCTGGGATTACAGGAATGCGCCACCATGCCAGGCTTATTTATTTATTTATTTATTTTTATTTATTTATTTATTTATTTATTTATTTATTTGAGACAGAGTCTCCCTCTATTGCCCAAGCTGGAGTGTAGTGGCACAATCTTGGCCCACTGCAACCTCTGGCTCCTGGGTTCAAGCAATTCTCCTGCCTCAGCCTCCTGAGTAACTGGGATTACAGGCACTCACCACCACCCGCAGCTAATTTTGTCATATTTTTAGTAGAGACAGGGTTTCACCGTATTGTCCAGGTTGGTCTCGAACTCCTCACCTTGTGATCTGCCCACCTCAATCTCCGTCAGTGCTGGGATTATAGGCATGAGCCACCGTGCTTGGCCTAATTTTGTATTTTTGGTAGAGATGGGGTTTTTCCATGTTTGTCAGGCTGGTCTTGAACTCCTGACCTCAGGTGATCCACCTGCCTTTGCCTCCCAAAGTGCTGGGATTACAGGTGTGAGCCACCGTGCCCGGCTGAGCTGTTTTACAGCTGAGGAAACTCCGGCCCAGTGAAAAACTAAATGTGGATGCTGGGAGTAGAATTCAGGTCTTTACAGTGTCAAACACAAGGTAGGGTATTCTTCAAAGGCAGATGGTAAGCCCTTTTTTTGGCAGCCATTATGACATGGTGGCTTCACTGCGATGGTACCCAATGATAGAATGAGAATGGAAGGGGTGCGGCCGTGCAGAGAAAAGGGTTGGTAGCAGGCTTTTTTCAACACAAAGTCACACAAAGGCTTAGTCAATGTGTGGTTAGAATTCCTCCTCCCCCTTTTCCCTCCTCTCTTTGTCTTCCTCTGTCTTTCCCTGTTTTTTCCACAAGGATTCTTTTTTTTTTTTTAAATTTTTAAATAACTCTGATATTTTGTATGAAACACTTCATGAATTTTCGTGTCATCCTTGTGCAGGGGCCATGCTAATCTCTGTATTGTTTCAGTTTTAGTATATGTGCTGCCAAAGGGAGCACCACAAGCATTCTTTTATTGACTGATTGAGACTGGGTCTTGGTCTGCCACCCAGGATGGAGTGTAGTGGCACAGTCTTGGCTCACTGCAACCTCCACCTCCCAGGTTCAAGCGATTTTCCTGCCTCAGCCTCCAAAGTAGTCGGGATGACAGGCACGCATCACCATGCCTGGCTAACTTTTTTGTATTTTAGTAGAGATGGGGTTTCACTGTGTTGGCCAGGCTGGTCTCTAACTCGTGACCTCAGGTGATCCACCCACCTTGGCCTGCCAAGGTGCTGGGATTATAGGCGTGAGCCATTGTACCCAGCCCCGGTTAGTTTTTGATAAATTTTTTGGCAAAGCCAGTCTGGGAAATTTTACTGTGCAGCTGAGAGAATTATGGCTCAGAGCCAGGAAGGAACTTGCCCCTGGTCACACAGCCAGGAAGTGGCAGTGTAGACCAGAAAACACATCTCCTGATGCTATGCTCCTCGCACTATGCCTCCCAAACGCAGAACAAGAACTGATTTTATTTTTATTGATTTTTTTTTTTTTTTTTGAGGTGGAGTCTATCTCTGTTGCCCAGGCTGGAGTGTAGTGGAGCGATCTTGGCTGACTGCAACCTCTGTCTCCTGGGTTCAGATGATTCTCCTACCTCGGCCTTCCCAGTAGCTGGGATTAAAGGCATCCGCCACCTCACCTGGTTAATTTTTTTTTTTTTCGTAATTTTAGTAGAGATGGGGTTTTGCCATGTTAGCCAGGCTTGTCTCGAACGCCTGACCTCAGGTGATCCACACACCTCAGCCTCCCAAAATGCTGGGATTACAGGTGTGAACCACCGCGCCCAGCCAAGAACTGAATTTAACTTGCAACAAGAACACTCCAGGTAGAGTTAAGAAGAATTTCTTGGCTATTCAGGTGTATTAGTCAAATTCTTTTATTTATTTATTTTTTAAGTCTCTTTCTATTGCCCAGGGTAAAGTGCAGTGGTATGATCACAGCTCACTGTAGCCTCAACCTCCCAGGCTCAAGCAATCCTCCCACCTTAGCCTCCCAAGTAGTTGGGACCACAACCACACAGTACTATGCCCAGCTAATGTATTAATTTTTTTTAGAGACGAGGGTCTCACTATGTTGCCCAGGCTGGTCTTGAAGTTCTGGGCTCAAGCAGTTCTCCCGCCTTGGCCTCCCATAGTGCTAGGATTACAGGTATGAGCTACCATGCCTGGCCTAGTCAGGTTTCTGATTGCAAAAGATGGGAACTGACTCTGACTAATTAAATCGGGAAATGAATTTTGTTGAAAGCACATTGAGTAAGTTATAGAATCACTGGAAGACTGTAGAAACAAGGCTTGGAAAATAAGCAGAAACAGAGAGACCAGGCACCTAGAATCACACCAAAATCCCATCACAGAGCCAGTTGCTGAGGACAGCCTCAGAGCTGCTGCTGCCTTCATCACAGCCACGGCTGGCGATGGATGCTGGATGCCATGCTGACCCAATGGCAAGCCTGTCTGGACACTGGATACTGCTGCCACTGCTGCAATCACTGTAAAGAATTTTTCCCATCCCCAGCTCCAGCATCAGAAATCCTAAGCAAATGCAGCTGATTGGTCAAGTGTAGATCACTCTAGCTACCTAGGGACACGGAAAAGTGGATATTGGGCATGGTTAGTGTCTCTGATGGAAGCCGTTTCCTGCTGCCCACCAAGAGAAGATAAATTCCCCAAGGGAACTGACAAATGATGGCTACGTACCTGTTGTCAAGAGAATCCACTGGAAGTCCCTGACATTTGCAGTTTCAACACTTGCAATTTTGTTAATTTGTTAGTTACTCCCAAAGGCCCATTATGAATGAATATGAGTTGAATGACTGGCTTTGCCTATTAGTGAGCCAGGCCTACTACTCTGCCTGGACATCTCACAGAACTATTATCCTTTATGTAGTTTGCATGCAGTGATTAAAATATTTGTTTCCTGTTTGCAGAGTAGAAAAGATTCATTAAATAAATCACTCAATAGTGCCAGTGATACAAACAGAGAGAAAGTGAGGAGGTATAAGAAAGTGACTTTGTTTTTTTGGCTACAAATAGAATTTGTGGATAAATTGGCATGGCATGTCAAGTTCAGTGGTGTCTGAGATCCCTGATAGCATTAGATCAACATGTGTGTCACTGAGATACAAGGAAAAGTTGTTTAGTGAGTGCATCAGCCAGTGCCAAAACTGCTCATCAAGAGAGAGTTTAATCTTTACTAAAAGATAAGAAGAGATTCAACTCTGATTCTCCTGCCTCAGTATCCCTAGTAGCTGGGATTACAGGTGCATGCCACCATGCCTGGCTAATTTTTGTATTTTTAGTAGAGGCAGGGTTTCTCCATGTTGGCCAGGCTAGTCTCGAACTCCTGACCTTAAGTGATCTGACCGCCTCAGCCTCCCAAAGTGCTGGGATTACAGGTGTGAGTTACTGTGTCCGGCCTGGACACATTACAGTGTAATTTTGGGAGACACAAGGTGGTATGTAGTGGATTAGGGCATCTGAAAGGTCTGGAAAAATCTCTTGCAAATGTTAGGAGTCTCCTATGTAAATCTCTTTATAGAAATCTCTTTTTGGCCAGGCACGGTGGCTCACCCCTGTAATTCTAGCACTTTGGGAGGCCTAGGCAGGTGGATCACTTGAGGTCAGGAGTTTGAGATCAGCCTGACAAACATGGTGAAACCTTGTCTCTACTAAAAATACAAAATTAGCCAGGCGTGGTGGTGGGTGCCTATAATCCCAGCTACTTGGGAGGGTGTGGCAGGAGAATCGTTTCAACCTGGGAAACGGAGGTTGCAGTGAGCTGAGATGGCACTATTGCACTCTAGCCTGGGCAACAAGAGCAAAACTCGGTCTCAGAAAAAAAAAAAAGAAAAGAAAAGAAAAGAAAAAGAAAAGAAAGGAACAAAAAAGAAATCTCTTTTCTACAGATATATATATTTTTAAAGTAGTCAATTGTCCTGGGTAAATGAGCACAGTGCCCTTTCAAGTCTTTGGCCAATACTCTGGCTCTGTGATTGATAATAAGTAATGCTTATTCCAGGCAAAGTCAGGAATTAGGAAAATTCCTTCTGTGTTTCCTTTTAAGAGTACTTGTGGGCTGGGCATGGCGGCTTACACCTGTAATCCCAGCACTTTGGGAGGCCGAGGTGGGCGGATCACAAGCTCAGGAGTTGAAGACCAGCCTGACCAACATGGTGAAACCTCGTCTCTACTAAAAATACAAAAATTAGCTGGGCGTGGTGGTGTGTGCCTATAATCCGAGCTACTCAGGAGGCTGAGGCAGCAGAATTGCTTGAACCCCGGATGGGGAGGTTGCAGTGAGCTGAGGTTTCACTACTGCACTCCAACCTGGGTGACAGAGCGAGACGCCATCTCAAAAAAAAAAAAAAAAAAAAAAAAAAAAGAGTACTTGTGGCCAGGTGGGATCTTTCTATGTTTTCTCTTGAGAATACTTGTGGATTACAAACTGTCTGATGCCTGTAATCCCAGTGCTTTGAGAGGTCAAGTGGGGAGGATCCCTTGAATTCAAGGATTTGAGACAGGCTGGACAACATAGGGAGGCCACCATCTCAAAAAAAAGAAAGTAATAATACAGTTAAAAACATTTTTAAAAATGAATACTTGCCAACCACAAAGGAAAGCGTTTTGGTTCTTCTTCTCCCTCCTCAATCCTAGGAACCTGTGAAAGGGTTTTGGTTCTCAGTGTGCATAAGGGACATTTCCATTTTAAACCAGAAGGCTAGAGACATTCTAACAATCTACCCAGGTCCCTACCTGTAGGATGTGAACTTTTCCCAGCAGCGCCACCCAGTATGGATCTGTGTATGTGAGGCCTTTCAAAAAAGAGTGGGCAGCAACTTGCTGCAGATAAGAGGCAAGAGGTTTGCTTAGTGAGTAAGAAAGCAGAGTCAGTGCAGTAAATATCCACCCAGTGAATGACAGCCGAAGAATGACTGGTCAAGTGCCAAGTAAATGAATGGACAGCTGTTGATGCTGTTGTATTTCTTTGAGACTATAATGTGTTGTAATCATTGTTTTGTTTTGAGACTCCTGCTCCATTCAATTGGGCTTCCAAAAATTCTGGTAACCTGAAGTGTGTTTCTGGACATCGTATCCCAAGGTTGACCTGTAGAGCCCATGGAGTTTATATACAGGCCACGCCCAAGGAAGGACAAAATTAATGACATGACCTTTGATTAGATTTGCTTCGTGAGGCCCTAGGGAAGGAAACCTTGGACCCGGGAGATGGTGAGTAGATTCCAGCAGGGTAAGGAAGAACTACCTAAGAATTAGAACTGTTACAAAATACAGCAACCCCACTAAAATTCATCTAGATTGCTTATAAATATAGCTTTGTGTATGAGCTCAAATACTTTTAAAGGTAGATTTCTAGAAGTTGGATGGTTTTGTTGAAAGGTATATGCTGTTTTATAGACATTGGCCAGTTGCCTTCCAAATGGCTGCATTAATTTATACCTCATATACTGCACCCAATTCCACATAGCCTCATAAATATGGGATAGTATCAGTTTTTTTTTTCTTTTTCTCTTTTGATTTTGAAGATGGAGTTTCACTCTCGTCATCCAGGATTGAGTGCAACAGCACAATTTCAGCTCGCTGAAACCTCCGCCTTCCAGTTTCAAGTGATTCTTTTGCCTCAGCCTCCTGAGTAGCTGGGATTACAGGCTCCTGCCACCATGCCCAGCTAATTTTTGTATTTTTAGTGGAGATGGGGTTTCACCATGTTAGCCAGGCTGGTCTTGAACTCCTGACCTCAGATGATCCACCCACCTCGGCCTCCCAAAGTGCTGGGATTACAGGTGTGAGCCACCGCACCAGCCTGAGTCTTTTTCATTGTTACCAATCTGATAGGTAATATTTCCTCAGAAATTCAGGAGCGAGAAAGGAGATAAACATGAGTAGGAGAGATGGGAAAATGTCAGAGACTGGAAGGAGCACCTGTGAGTATTACAGCACCAGGTTTTGGAGATCAGCTAAATCAGAGAGTGGCACCTATTCTCAGGAAACAGGGTGGACAGGTAAGGGAGTTGGAGGATGATGGTAATTGACTGAGAGGTAAAATCAAAACACTGACTGGCTGCAGTGCTCACACTTGTAATCCCAGAACTTTGGGAGGCTGAGGCAGGAGGATCACTGGAGCCCAGGAGTTTGAGACCTGCCTGGATAACACAGGAAGACACCATCTCAACAGAGAAAAAAAATAGCTGGGCATGGTGGCGTGTATGCTTGCAGTCCCAGCTACTTGGGAGGCTGAGGTGGGAGGCTCGCTGAAGCCTGGGAAGTAGAGGCTGCAGTGAGCTGTGATCCTGCCACTGCATTCCAGCCTGGGTGACAGAGAGAGATCTTGTCTCAAAAAAATTAAAATAGGCCGGGTGCTGTGGCTCACACCTGTAATCCCAGCACTTTGGGAGGCCAAGAGTTCAAGACCAGCCTGGCCGACATGGTGAAAACCCATCTCTACTAAAAATACAAAAATTAGCTGGCATGGTGGTGGGCACCTGTAATTCAAGCTACTTGGGAGGCTGAGGCAGGAGAGTCACTTGAACCCAGGAGGTGGAGGTTTCAATGAGCTGAGATCGTGCCACTGTACTCCAGCCTGGGCCACAGAGCCAGACTCCGTCTCAAAATAAGTAAATAAATAAGAAAACCCCAAATGCTTCAAACTGCTACCAATGTGCTCATTTGGTGCTGGAGCCTAAAGTAGCTAGAAGTACCTGTCTGCTTTATGGTACAAGGCAAGGCAGAAAGCAGACATGCAGTGAGTTTTGGCTAAACCGATGGGGTCAACTATTTTGCAGCGCAGGAAATATGCTTAGGCACTAACACACTTAAAATGGTGGTCGCAAAGTTGTAAAATTCTGGAACTGTTGAAATTCCAAGATAAGGGCAAATGTAATCCTTATTTTGTAGCTCCTTTTACAAAGTCGTTAACAATATGGAATTTTGGCCAGGCGCGGTGGCTCAAGCCTGTAATCCCAGCACTTTGAGAGGCCGAGGCGGGTGGATCACGAGGTCAAGAGATCGAGACCATCCTGGTCAACATGGTGAAACCCCGTCTCTACTAAAAATACAAAAAATTGGCCGGGTGCGGTGGCTCATGCCTGTAATCCCAGCACTTTGGGAGGCCAAGGCGGGTGGATCACGAGGTCAAGAGATCGAGACCATCCTGGTCAACATGGTGAAACCCTGTCTTTACTAAAAATACAAAAAAAAAAAAAAAAAAAAAAAAATTAGCTGGGCATGGTGGCGTGTGCCTGTAATCCCAGCTACTCAGGAGGCTGAGGCAGGAGAATTGCCTGAACCCAGGAGGCGGAGGTTGCAGTGAGCCGAGATCGCGCCATTGCACTCCAGCCTGGGTAACAAGAGCAAAACTCCGTCTCAAAACAAAACAAAACAAAACAATATGGAATTTCATTTCCTCATAAAATGATTATGTATGATATTTAGATTTACAATAAGGCTGATTTATACAATGAGAGCTGTCCCTAATTGAACTGAAATACTTTAATATTTGTAGTTAAAAGCTGCTGATCTTAAATCCACATTGTATTTCGTCAATTATGAGACGTGGCAAAAACTAGAAAAAATCATCAATATTCAAGGGAAATTAATAAAATATAGTTATATCTATGGAGGTGGGTGAGGGGTGGGTAAAAAATGCAGTGGAGAGAAAAAGACTTTATTTCAGAAAAGTTGTTGGGGAAAAGAAAAATGTCTCTTCTTAAATGTATTGAATATAACCTATTGTAATGTGAAAACTTGCCTAATGAGTTTTATTTGAAAATCAATTGAACTTGATCTGATTCCCAGTAACATGCAGTGTAAGAACAGGCCCCAGGCTCAGCTCCATCCCTTCCATCTATCCATCCATCCATCTAAAACCCATCCATCCGTCCATAGCCGATAACAACTAATAATTATAGGGTGTTTACTATGTGCCAGATACTGTTCTTTTTTTTTTTTTTTTGAGACAGAGTCTTGCTCTGTCACCCAGTCTGGAGTGCAGTGGCACAAGTCTGGCCTAAATACACCTCCCAGGTTCAAGTGATTCTCGTGCCTCAGCTTCCCAAATAGCTGGAATTACAGTGCCACTATGCCCAGCTAATTTTTGTATTTTTAGTAGAGACGAGGTTTCACCATGTTGGCCAGTCTGCTCTGAAACTCCTGACCTCAAGTGATCCGCCCACCTTGGCCTCCAAGAGCTTACTGTTCTAAGTGCTTCACGTGCATGATCTCAAGTAATCTTCCCAGCAATGTTACGAGGCAAGTGCTATCATTATCCTGAGTTTAAAATGTGAATCTGAAGGTTTCCCAATAAGTTAAACATAGAATTAATTATTATATGACCCAGCAATTCCACTCATAGGTATACACCCCCACTCAAACTAGAAACAGATGTTTAAACACAACTTTACAGGGATGTTCATTCGCAATAGCCAAAAGGCGGAAACAACCCAAATGGCCATAAACAGATGAGTGAATAAACAAAATGTGGCATGTCTGTACAACACAGTAGCATTCAGCCGTAAAAAAAGGAAATTCTACTGGGGGCAATGGCTCACGCCTGTAATCCCAGCACTTTGGGAGGCCAAGGTGGGCGGATCACTTGGGGTCAGAAGTTTGAGACCAGCCTGGCCAATATGGTGAAACCCCATATCTATTAAAAATACAAAATATTAGTTAGGCATGGTGGCAGGTGCCTGCAATTCCAGCTACCTGGGAGGCTGAGCCTGGAGAATCACTTGAACCTGGGAGGTGGAGGTTGCAGAGAGCCGAGATCATACCACTGCATTCCAGCCTGGGCAACAAAGCAAGACTCTGCCTGCTCCCCATCCCCCAAAAAAACAAACAGGAAATTCTGACCCTTGCTACAACATGCATGCCCCTTGAAAACATTATGGGAAGGAAGCCAAGCACAGAAGGCCATGCACTCTATGGTACATACATATTGTATGATTTCATTTACCTGTGTATGAAATATCCGGAATAGGTAAATCCATAGACACAGAAAGCAGATTCGTCATTGCCAAGGACTATGGCAAGAGGGCAATAGGAATTAACGGCTTAATGGGTATGGGTATCAGGTTTTTGTGATGAGAAAGTTTTGGAACTAGTGGTGATAGTTGCACAACATTGCAAATGTACTCAATTCATTGAATTGTACACTTTAAATGGCTAAAAACAGGGCCAGGTTCAGTGGCAGTGCCTGTAATCCCAGAACTTTGGGAGGCCGAGGTGGGTAAATCACTTGAGGTCAGGAGTTTAAGACCAGCCTTGCCAACATGGTGAAACCCCTTCTCTACCAAAAATACAAAAATTAGCCAGGTGTGATGGTGCGCACCTGTAATCTCAGCTACTCTGGAGGCCGAGGCAGAAGAATTGCTTGAACCCAGGAGGCGGAGGTTGCAGTGAGCTGACTCAGAGAATTTAATTAAGTGATTTATCTGATGTTAACTTACAGATGATACATGGTACAACTGTGTTTTAATCTCAGTCACCTGGCTTTTTGGCTCATGCTCTTTAAAACAATGCAGAGAAAACTTTACTTTGGGCCATTTAGGAGGTTTTGATCATTTTGATCATCTTCAGCTGCCTTTTCTTCACACACAGGAAAGGCCTTGGAAAGCAGTGGTTGCACCAGACAGCCCAGGAAAGAGCCGAAGCCTGAAGACCTGGGGCCACCTGCTGTTCCCTGGCATTCATGTCCCTCTGGGGTGGAGGAAGGACCCGGGACAATGGCTGCTGCTCATGATCTGGAGATGGAGAGCATGAATCTGAATCTGGAGAGAGAGATGAAGGAAGAGCTGGAGGAAGAGGAGAAAATGAGAGAGGATGGAGCAGGGAAAGATCGTGCCAAGAAGAAAAAGGTCCATAGGATCGTCTCAAAATGGATGCTTCCCGAAAAGGCCCGAGGAACATATTTGGAGAGAGCTAACTGCTTCCCACCCCCCGTGTTCATCATCTCCATCAGCCTGGCCGAGGTGAATGGGGAGCGGGGTGGGTACCGGAGTAAGTGGCACGGAGGAGTTGCAAACAAACTAGGGGTCAGCTGTAGATCTAGAGAAGGGACTGGGAACATGTGACAGAGCTTGGCGGGGTGGGGACAGCACACACCTAACCTCTGCCTCCTCCCTCCCCAGAGCTGCCTTTGGGGGCTTTCCTTACATTCTGGTTCACTGCCAACCCAGGGCAGAGTTTCATTTGTCAGACAAATCTGCCCAGCTGTGGCTGCATTTTCAGTGGCTTTTCGTTTTAACCGTGATGTTTTTAGGAACCAGATCATCCTGGGGTTGCACGTGGGTTTTCTCTCATGAACCAATTTAGACTAGTTGGTAAGGCCTTTCTGGGGCCCCAGGTTTAGAAGTATGATAGGCTGTTTCTGAATTTCAGTAGGAAAAAAATGGGATCCTTTAACAACGTCTACTTAAGGCAGCACGTGGTGTGTTGTCAAGCTCTGATCTAGACAGTCCTCTTGTTTTCCAGAAAAGACTGCAAGGCTCAGAGAGGTGGGCTGGCTCCCAAGGTCACATCATAGACACGGGGCCAGGATGAGGCTCCCCTCTACCTCATGGCACCTAGTGTTTTCACCCACACTTGATGTCCTGCGAAGGAGCTAGCCAATCATGGCTGCCTGTGGGGTGTGAATTCACGGGCATTAGGAAGTTCCTAATGTAATCCTTTTAATTCCCATTGATGCACTGATGCCTCAGCTTCCTTCCCAGAAACTGTATTAGTCACAGTTCTTCAGAAAAACAGAATCAGTAGGTGTGTGTGCTGGGGGAAGAGAGATTAAGATGTATTTTAAAAGCCAGGTGTAGTGGCTCATGCCTGTAATCTCAGCCCTTTGGGAGACTGAGGCAGGCAGATCACCTGAGATTGGGAATTTGAAACCAGCCTGGCCAATAGGGTGAAATCCTATCTCTACTAAAAATACAAAAATTAGCGTGGCATGGTGGTGTGTGCCTGTAATCCCAGCTACTCAGGAGGCTGAGGCAGGAGAATTGCTTGAACCTGGGAGGTGGAGGCTGCAGTGAGATGAGATCGTGCCATTGCACTGCAGCCTGGGCAACAAGAGTAAAATTCCGTCTCAAAAAAGCCCTCTGTCCTGCCCAGGCTGGAGTGCAGTGGTATGATCTTGGTTCACTGCAACCTCTGCCTCCCATGTTCAACCGATTATCCTGCCCCAGCTTCCTGAATAGCTGGGATTACAGGCGCACGCCACCATGCTCGGCTAATTTTTGTATTTTTAGTAAAGACGGGGTTTCACCATGTTGGTCAGCCTGGTCTTGAACTCCTGAGCTTGTGATCTGCCAGCCTTGGCCTCCCAAAGTGCTGGGGTTACAGGTGTGAGCCACTGCGCCCAGCCATTGATCTATTTTCATAGCAAGTTGTAAATGAAAGATCAGTTGGTGTGATGATGAAGGCACTGGGTATTTAAGAGGGAGAGGGTGATAGAGAACATGGTGTCAGAGAGCAGAGTGTCCAAGAGCAGGGCCTTACAATGTGAGCTAGCACTGCTCCCAACCATCAGAGGAAGTCGGGTATGGTGGGAACCATCACAGTGGGATATACTTCCACAGTGGTGGAGAAGTATATTTCATGTCATCTTCTGGCACTACGGTGTGGCCCACTTGAGGGCTGAATCATCCGAAACAGTTACTGCCCACGGGCTTGAATGGGGCCCCTCTCTGGAGAAGGTATGGTTAACACAAATGTCTGTTCCCTCCGTCAGCTGGCAGTGTTTATTTACTATGCTGTGTGGAAGCCTCAGAAACAGTGGATCACCTTGGACACAGGCATCTTGGAAAGTCCCTTTATCTACAGTCCTGAGAAGAGGGAAGAAGCGTGGAGGTTTATCTCATACATGCTGGTACATGCTGGGTAAGCAATGACATTGAAGCCCCTGGTATCAGAGGTGATTATATCCTCTAACGTTTATTAGGTACTTTATTATTGATGAGGCACTTTCATGTACATAATCTTGTTTGATCTTCACAGCAACCCTGAGGGGTAGTAGGTATTACTCCTGCTGTTTTATGTCTGAGGCTTAGATGTAGTCACAGAGGCCAAGGCAGGCAGATCACTTGAGTTCAGGAGTTCGAGACCAGCCTGGCTGATATGGTGAAACCCCATCTTTACTAAAAATAAAAAAATTAGCCAGGCATGGTGGCACATACCTATGGTCCCAGGGGTCTGAGGCAGGAGAATTGCTTGAACCTGGGAGGTGGAGGTTGCAATGGGCTGAGATTGTGCCATTGCACTCCAGCCTGGGGGACAAGAGCAAGACTCCATCTCAAAAAAAAAAAAAAAAAAAAAAAAAAAATTTGCAAGGCTGTGTAGGATATATCATGTGTGGGGTTATATAAATTAGGAATGTTTTGGATGCAAGTAACAAAAATATCTAACAGGGCCTTAAAGAGAAGTTAATATTTTCCCTTTAATGTCCAGAGGGTCCAGGAATGGTGGCTTATACCTGTAATCCAGGCACTTTGCCAGGCCGAGGCGGGTGGATCACCTGAGGTTGGGAGTTCAAGACCAATTTGGTCAACATGATGAAACCCTGTCTCTACTAAAAATAGAAAAATTGGCTGGGCGTGGTGGCTCACACCTGTAATCCCAGCACTTTGGAAAGCTGAGATGGGTGGATCACTGAGGTCAGGAATTCGAGACCAGTCTAACGTGGTGAAACCCCATTTCTACTAAAAATTAGCTGTAGTCCCAGCTAATTGAGAGGCTGAGGCATGAGAGTCGCTTGAACCGTGAGGTGGAGGTTGTGGTGCAATCTCTGCTCACACACACACGCACACATACACATGAAAAAGACTGACACATACACATGCACACACACGCATGATAAAAAAGAAAAAAGTTTTCTGCTTAAAAAAAAAATAGAAAATGGAATTCTAGTTAAGCAAATCCTTAACTAGAAAAAACACATGAAAGTTTGTCTCCCTGGGAAATAACTGCTTGGTTTAGTCATAATATTTGACAACTATTGTTTGTCGTTGCAGAGTTCAGCACATCTTGGGGAATCTTTGTATGCAGCTTGTTTTGGGTATTCCCTTGGAAATGGTCCACAAAGGCCTCCGTGTGGCGCTGGTGTACCTGGCAGGAGTGATTGCAGGTCAGTGTTCTAAGGTAACACAGAATCAATACCTCTGGGCTCTTAGGATTAAAAGCAAAGGAAATATACACTTACAGTAGCCTTCTTGAAGTTGATTTATTGTACTCCTAATATGTGCTAGGGAACACTAAGCCTTAGAGGTCATTTAATTAGAGATAATATCGCACATAAGGACTAGTCATTGTGCCTATCCTCAGGTAGCTCACACTCAAGACAGGGTTTTGCATAACTGAAAATGCAAGTATGCCAGGCTCTCTCACCTGTAATCCCAGTACTTTGGGAGGCCGAGTTGGGGCCACTTGAGGCCAGGAGTTCGAGACCAGCCTGGCCAATATGGTGAAACCCTGTCCTATTAAAAATACAAAAATTAGCTTGGAATGGGGGCACACCCCTGTCATCCTAGCTACTCAGGGAGCTGAGGCACCAGAATTGCTTGAACCCAGGAGGCGGAGATTGCAGTGAGACAAGATCATGCCACTGTACCTCACACTCCAGCCTGGGCAATAGAGCGAGACTCTGTCTTAAAAAAAAAGGAATAAAGAAAACTGCAGACTAATGATTTTGAGAGGTAACATGCTCAGATTTGCATTTAAGAAAGAAGACATTAAGGGAATGTAGAGAATAACTTACTGGGCCCAAAGACTGAGTAGGTACAAGCAGCATATGGCAGCGATCTCTAAAACTGGGTGCGTCTAAGGTGATCTGTTATGGCATGGGAAGAAAATATTTGAATTCCCATCCATCCATTTGTTTACTTATTGGAAACATTTTTTTTAAAATTAAACTTTTAATTCTGAGATAATTGTAGATTTATATGCAGTTGTTAAAAATGATTCCTAGAGGTCTCATGTACCCTTTAAACCAGCTACCCTCAATGATGGCATCTTACAAAACATTAGTACTGTATTACAACTAGGATATCCACGTTGGTAACAGTCAGGGCACAAAACATTTTCAAGCCATATGGATCCCCCATGTTGCCTTTTTATAGCTATACTGCCTTCCCTCCCACCCTCCTTTACCCCTGGCAACTAGTGATCTGTTCTCTATTTCTATAATGTTGTCATTTGAAGAATATTATATAAATGGAATAATCCAGTAGATAGCCTTGTGGGATTGATTTTCTTCACCCAGCATAATTCTCTGGGGATTCATCTAGGTCGTTGCATGTGTCAGTAGTTTATTCCTTTTTATTGCCCAGTATTTATTCCATAAAATGGATATAGCATCACTTGTTTAACCATTCACTCATTGAAGGACATCTGAGTTGTTCTCAGTTTTTGGCTATTAGGAATAACAACACTCTAAACACTTGTGTATGAGTTTTTATGAACGTCAGTATGGGGCTTTGTGAACACAGTTTTCAGTTCTCTAGGATAAATGTCCAAAGGCAAAGTTGTTGGATCATATGATAGAGGCATTTTTAAAAATTTAATTAATTAGTTAATTTCTTTTGAGATGGAGTCTCGCCCTGTCATCTCAGCTTGAGTACAATGGTATGATCTGGGCTCACTGCAACTTCTGCCTCCTGGGTTCAAGTGATTCTCCTGCCTCAGCCTCCCAAGTAGCTAGGATTACGGGTGCCTGTCACCACGCCCAGCTAATATTTGTATTTTTAGTAGAGACGGGGTTTCACCATGTTGACAGTGAGCCGAGATCATACCATGGCACTCCAGCCTGGGTGACAGAGGGAGCTGGTCTCGAACTCTTGACCTCATGATCTGCCCACCTTGGCCTTGCTGGGATTACAGGTGAATTTTTAAAGAAAATTCTTTAAATATGAAACATTTAAAGAATGTTTTCTAGAATGTCTCTCCCATTTTATATTCACCCTGGCAATATAAATGATTCAGATTCACTGTTTGGTGTTGCCTGATTTTTTACTTTACCTGTGCTTGTGATGTGGAAGCAGGGAAGGGAAGTGCTGGTTAGAGGAGGGCATGGTTCCTGGCTAGGGCTCTACCCCCGCACTCCCACCCTAGCCTGTGCTCACGGACTTAGGTGAGGACAAGACATTTTTGTTTTCCTGCCCAAATGGTGCATTTCCCAATACTACCCTGGCCTGCCACGCCCCATCTGGGCCTATAAAAACTTTGAGACCCTGGCTGGCAGACATGAAAGCAGCTGGATGTCAGGAGGAACACACTGGCAGATGACAGGACAGGAGCCAGCATGCCAGCAGGCCACTGACCAGCAGCAGAAGGATGCGGAGTTTGGCTGGGGCAGTTGGAGGAGAGCCTGGGCTGCCGAGTGGCCCTACTCCAGGGAAAAACGATCACCCTTCTGGCTAACCCATCTGCTGCTGAGAGCTACTTCCATTTGATAAAACCTTGCACTCGGCTGGGCATGGTGGCTTATGCCTGTAATCCCAGCACTTTGGGAGGTCGAGGCAGGCAGATCATGAGGTCAAGAGATGGAAACCATCCTGGTCTTGATCCAACATGGTGAAACCCCATCTCTACTAAAAATACAAAAGTTAGCTGGGTGTGGTGGTGTACGCCTATAGTCCCAGCTACTGGGGTGGCTGAGGCAGGAGAATTGCTTGAACCCGGGAGGCAGAGGTTACAGTGAGCTGAGATCGTGCCACTGTACTCTAGCCTGGTGACAGAGCGAGACTTTGTCTCAAAAACAAACAAACAAAAAACCTTACACTCTTTCTCCAAGCCCCCATGTGATCTAATTCTTCCGGTACACCAAGGCAAGAACCCTGGGATACAGAAAGCTCTCTGACCTTGAAAGAAGGCAGAAGTCTAATTGAGCTGAGTAGCAGAAGTCACCTATGGAAGGGCTAAACTAAAAAAGTACCCTATAACACATGCCCACTGGTGCTTCCGCTGTAAATTCACCCGTAGACGCTGCCGTGGGGTCAGAGCCCTGCAGCCTGCCCATCTGTATGCTCCCCTAGAGGTTTGAGCAGTGGGGCACTGAAGAAGCCAGCCACACCCCCATCACAAGTCCTGTGAGAGGGCAAGGGAGCTTTTCCCCATTTCACTCCTAAGTGGGTACTGATATCTGATCACGGTTTTAATTTGCATTTTTCTAATGGGCAATGATGTTGAATATCTTTTTTTTTTTTTTTTTTTTTTTTTTTGAATTTGGAGGGACGTTCTGAGATGTATTCTTGAGTATCTTTTTATGTGCTTATCTGCCTTCTATCTTCTTTAGTGAAATGCCTCTTCATGTTTTTTGCCCATTTGCTAACTTTTTAACTGTTGAATTTTGAGAATTCTTTATGTATTCTAGATCAGGCATCCCCAAACTACAGTTCACGGGCTGCATGCGGCCCCCTGAGGCCATTTATCTGGCCCCCCGCCGCACTTCAGGAAGGGGTACCTCTTTCATTGGTGGTCAGTGAGAGGAGCACAGTATGTGGCGGCCCTCCAGCGGTCTGAGGGACAGTGAACTGGCCCCCTATGTAAAAAGTTTGGGGACGCCTGTTCTAGATGCTAGCCCTTAACTGAATATGTAGTTTATAAATATTTTCACCCAGTCTGTAGCTTGTCTTTTTATCTTCTTGCCAAGATCTTTCACAGAACATGAATTCTAAATTTTGGTGAAGTCTAATTTACCAATTTTTCCATTTATGAATTGTGCTTTTGGGGTTATGTCTTAAAAACTTTTCACTGAACCTTAGGTCCTGAGGAGGTTTTCCAATGTTATCTTCTAAAAGTTATAGTTTAATGCTTTATATTTATTTGTTTGTTTGTTTATTTTTAGAGACAGGGTACTCACTTTGTTGCCTAGGCTGGAGTGCAGTGGCGCAATCATAGCTTACTGTGGCCTGCAGCCTCGAACTCCTGTGCTCAAGTGAACCTCTGGCTTTGGCCTCCTAAAGTGTTGGGATTATAGGCCTGAGCCACTGCTCCAAGCCCTATGCTTTACTTTTTTACTTTTTAACTTTATTTATTTATTTTTTTGAGATGGTGTTCTGCTCTTGTCACCCAGGCTGGAGTGCAGTGGTGTGATCTTGGCTCACTGCAACCTCTGCTTCCCAGGTTCAAGTGATTATCTGGTCTCAGCCTCCTGAGTAGCTGGAATTACAGGCACCCACCACCATGCCCAGCTAATTTTTGTATTTTTAGTTGAGATAGGGTTTTGCCATGTTGGCTAGGCTAGTCTTGAACTCCTGACCTCAGGTGATCTGCCCACCTTGGCCTCCCAAAGTACTTTGGATTATAGATGTGAGCCACCTCGCCCAGCCTTTACTTTCAAATATACAACCCATTTTGAGTTTGAGATTCTTTTCGTTTGTTTGGCCTAAAGATATCCAGTTATAGTAGGCCAGCCTCAGTGGCTCACGCCTATAATCCCAGCACTTTGAGAGGCCGACGCAGGTGGATCATGAGGTCAGGAGTTTGAGACCAGCCTGGCCAACACAGTGAAACCCTCTTTCTACTAAAACTACGAAAATTAGCTGGGCATGGTGGCGTGTGCCTGTAATCCCAGCTATGGGGAGGCTGAGGCACGAGAATTACTTGAACCTGGGAGGCAGAGGTTGCAGTGAGCTGAGATCATGCCACTGCACTCCAGCCTGGGCGATATGCTAGAACAATTCATTCAACACTTTTTCCTCCTTCAATGAACTGCTTTTGCACTATTAGAAAAAATCATTTGCCTGTAGTTATGTGGGGGCTATTCTGGGTTCTTTTTATTCCATCAATTTCTGTGTGTATTCCTCCACCAATACATAGGCTTGATTACTGTCGCTATATAGTAAGTCTTGAAATCAGAATGATTCCTCTCACTTTATTCATTTTCAAAATTTAGCTGTTCTAATTCCTTTCCCTTTCCATATAAGTGTTAGAATAATTCTGTTTATAGCTATAGAAATTCTTGCTGAGATCTTGATAGGAGTTGTCTTAAATCTGTACATCAATTTGGGGAGAACTGATATCATTTCTATAGTAAGTCTTTTGATCTATCAACAGTGTCTCTTATTTATATCTCCTAAATGGTATTTTAAATTTCAGTGCCCATGTGTTCATTGCTAGAATATAGAA